CACGGGGTATTCCGAACGACAGGGTGCCGTAAAGCTCGAGAAAGCTGCTTTCTAATTGGCTGATGTCGACTTCTTGTTAGTCATTTCAGTGGTCGGTCAAAGTTCGCGAAAGGTCGTTCTGACGTGCCCCGTAATAGGATGTCCTCAGATCTTTGTTTAGCGGCAGCGAGAACTTAGATGTGATTTTAATTAGATTGACCAAAGTGATGTATGTATGAGACCTGCATCACTTCGGGCTTTCTTCCCACATTAAGCTGACGCGCCGCGATATAACTGGAATACTGTTAAAAGCGGCGTTAAACCCAACACACTCACTCACCCCACTATTACGATAGCAATGGTAAATGAAAGTAAAACACGAACATGAAGTTGGGTTGAGTGGCTGGGATTTTGTATGGGAGATTAGATATACAGTAGTTTCAGCAAAAGCTACAAAACCAGACATCTTTTTATTAAAACTGTGAGCCTGGATTTTTTTCAAAGGACACCTTGCAACAATGTAATCGTTATAGCAGGCAATTTACTTTTTCAACAGCCTGAAGCATAATTATTTTCTTCAAGAATTTTTGGGGACAATTTACGTTTTTTCGACATAATCCCCGGCCCCTCTCCTCACCAAGTAAATCACATGGTCGGTCCCTAAATAACTGAAAGTATGTTTTTTATTTCGCCTCCCTATTTATTTCTTTATGTTCATTGTACTTGCATGGACATAACGCGTATATGTTTTACTTAGAAGTTACATCTATCACAATTCTTCTCAAATAACAGATGTGGAGGAAAAGGCAATTTTCGGTCAGATGACTCAGTGGTATGTAATTCTTGCAAAAGCAATTTCTCTGGTTAGTTTGTGAAATTTGAGGTGACAGTTATCTCATCTGAATCATAAAGTAGAAGTATTCCAAATAATATTCTATATTTACATATTTAATGTTATATTTGTATTATTTATTAGATTTCTACATCATTACACTACTTTAATGCCAGCTGAATCAGACCAATTCGTTATTCGCGCACAAATATGTTATGGGTGAGGACATACTTGTGAGTTGACCGGTATCGTTTTTGGGAGGAGAACTTGTAAAGGCATTTTCTCTAGCTTGTTGGTGATATTGGAAACAAAATGACTGTGAGATCATCTGAATCATAAACTAGATGTATTCTATATTTTCATATTTAATATATATTCTTTTCCATTATAAATCTACATGATTACAAAACACCATTGCCAGGTGAATCAGCCCAATTCGTTATTCACGCGTTATGGGTAGGGAAATACGTGGGAGTTTGCAGGTTTAGCCGGTAAGAAGTTTAAATATGCCTACTCATTTGAGGTGAAGTCACACTGCGTGAATCCAGCGCATTATTATGACTAAAATAGCTATGAAGATGTTTTAATGTTCATTTTTGCAAAAAATATTTGAATAACGACTTGTTGTCGCCACCGATCTGAAATTGTAAATTTATTCAAGCAATTGCCTTATGAATATACAAATTGGCATACATGGCTTGCTCCAACTTGAGTCTGTATGAGTCTGACAGGTATGGAATACTGTAAGGGACATTCTCGCAATCTCGCATTCTCGCGATCTCGATCTTTGGAAACGAGGTAAATATGCCCAAAACACGAGAATGCGAGATCGCGAGAACGCGAGATTTGGCCAAAATCTCGCGTTCTCGCGATCTCGCATTCTCGTGTTTTTGTTACATAGCACTTTTGTCAAAAGTCGACAACGCGAGAATGCGGACATGATGCAAAATCTCGCAATCTCGCAATCTCGACTTGTCAAATTAGGCCACAAAAACACGAAATCGCGAGAACGCGAGAATGCGACATTTCATTTTCTCGCGATCTCGCGTTCTCGTGTTCTCGCGTTTTAGACGCTGTACGTGCGCATGCGTAATATCATGAGGCCAAGCGCATGCGCACGTTAGTAGTCCTTTGGTCATGCTTCTTTCATGCTCTTCAGGGCTCTTTGAAATACAATACAATGAACCTCTCCTGCCTTTATTTTGCCGATGCACATAACTTCAGCAAATGACCTACCTACCTACCCAGACCACCCACCTACCTACCCACCTACCTACCTACCTACCTACCTACCCAGACCACCTACCTACCTACCTACCTACCCACCTACCTACCTACCCACCTACCCAGACCACCTACCTAAAACCTACCTACCTACCTACCAACCCACCCACCCACCAACCTACCTACCCAGACCACCTACCTACCTATCTACCCATCTACCTACCTACCCAGACCACCTACCTACCTACCTACCTACCCAGACCACCAACCTACCTGCCGAAACCACCCACCCACCCACCTACCTACCTACCTACCTACCTACCTACCTACCTACCTACCTACCCAGACCACCTACCTACCTACCTACCTACCTACCCACCCACCTACCTATCTACCTACCTACCTACCTACCAACCCACCCACCCACCCACCAACCCACCTACCTACCTACCCAGACCACCTACCTACCTACCTATCCATCTACCTACCTACCCAGACCACCCACCTACCTACCTACCTACATATATATATTTACGTTAATGTTTACGTTAAACAGATTGATGTAAGGCAAATGAAATGCAGTAATCTGGGTGCCTTTGTACAAAGCGGTCTTAGCGCTACCTCCCATGCCTTAACACTGACTTACGACAGTCTGCTTACTGGGATAGATTACAACCTCAGGTGCAACGAACCATGTTTTCAAAACTCTAGTTCTTAGTTTTTATAGCTTCAAAGCATTGGGAAATTTGAAGCATGTATTAAAAGAACATGATCAATAATACTTGTTTTGGAATCATATATGGATCTACGATACCATGTTAATGTATTATCTTATTGTAACATAAGGTAGTATTCTTTTCATATCGAAACCAGTATGTTTCTGTTGCTATTATAGTATCAGTTGGTTTGTTGTTTTACGCCGCACTCAGCAATATTCCAGCTATATGACGACAGTCCGCTACCCGTCCGCCCCCTTTATGGAACAGGCCCATGGGCTCCGTTTGAAGTGGAGAAGTAAAGGCTGGAGTAGAATTACGAGCGCTTAATAATACGGGGCCCTGTTTCTCTGCGTTCAAGATTATTTCACTTTTATAGCGAAGTCCCATGTGTGTGTATGTGTGTGTGTGGCTGCTTGTACTAGTCTTGTGCAAGCCCACTAAAATATCAAGCCACATTATCGAGCGCCAGGCAGGGTGACAACAAATATCATATTTTAACGTCTTTTGGTATGACGCGGCCAGCGGATCGAACCACCGCTCGTTCTACGGGCAGAATCGCAACTACACCGCCGAGGCGGTTTCCTGTCATAAAGCAACATCAACACTCACTTGAACAAAAGTTTCCTCCTCAGCTGGTCGAACCCAAAGAACGGCACCACATAGGTCATCACCCACTCGTCCACCCTGCCATCACACTTGAATGTAGGCCTGCCCCATGTGCCGTCAGTATAGGCTGGGGCCTTGTATCTCAGAGGAAAGTACTCGTGTCTGACTGTACTTGTCCCCGCAGGATCGGATCTCACAAGGGATCGCATCTTGTAGGTCTTCAGCCCCTCGGTGTTCGTCCCCCACCTCCCCTTCTGCTCCCGGTACCAATCTTCATCGACGTAGTGCTTCGGCAGACCTGCTGTGTCCACGGAATAGAAACTCCCTTCTTTCTTAAAAGCCAGGGGTCCGAAGAACTCTCTCACTGTATCGTCCTGATTTACAAACTGATTCCGGTCAAAGAACACCCCACTGGAACGGATTTTGAAATTGGACATAACATTGGCGATGACTTCTCCGAAGAGGTGTTCAACATGTAGCCGTCCGCCGCCTCGCAGATTGCCAAAGTTTTCATTAGGATCATTATTTTGGAGGTAATTGCTGATGAAATGAGCAAGTCGCAACGCAGTCCTTGCCTCCATCTCAAACTGCTTGTTGACCCCGTACCCAACATCACCCGCCATTTGTAGCAAGGAGGGTTCCTTTGTGTGACAATTTTCAGCAGTTACGCTTTCCTTGTGTCGAAAGACACTCATCATCCGATTAAAAGCTTTGGGGTCAAATGATGTAGACCTTTTTCTTCTCGTTTTTGTGACGTTATATTTGTCACGCCAGTATTCCCTTAGCTCTCGCATCGTGTGTTTACTTATATACCTCCGGTGGCCATTTTGGAGTCCTTTTCGGATTTTCATGACGTGTTTCGGTGTCAGCTTTTTTATAGTGAGGTGCTCGGGTTGAGGGTAGATGTTCGGGATGTTGTAGTAGCCGTAGTCTATGTTGCTGTTGTCGTTGCTGGCGGCCTCCTCTTGTTCAGATTTCACCAATATTTCCTCTTCGTAAGATTCATTAATTGATCGTAGACGGCGTGATCTGGAAAAATAAAGAATGTGTATAGATATGTGATACACGAAGGTTTGAATTAGAAGATGAAAATACTGTGTTTTAAATATCGAGTTAGATTAGCTGTGTGGAACCGAACGCGCAGCGTCAGGTTTCAAATCTTAAATCTACAGCTTACATTCGACAACCCACTCAAAACACTGGACTCAACCCATGCCGCTTCACTCAGTATATTTGCTGGCACCAAAGAGTTCGCGTTTTATTTAGTCAGGGTAGATTGGAGATAAACATACTGTGTTTTCAATGTAGAGCTAGGTTACCTGTAGATCTAACCGCCATAAATTTAACATTTGAAACCTCACACTGTGCGTTCGGTTCCACATTGAATTGCTGACAAAATGTGTTCTTGCTTATTAGTTTTGAACGACCAGATACAATCGTTGATAAAATGGTTGGTTCCCGAGAGAATTCACAGTGAAAAGAATCGTTCCCATTTTGTCTTGGGCACGGGGGCCTCGTCTACTAAAGTGCTGTGCAGAGTTGTGTCCCTTAGGCATGCCAGAAAACGATGCTCGTGGGTTTCATCAAAATAGTAACGCCATCAACGCCTTGAAATAACTACGATAGTGTTCAAAGCGGCGCTAAACCCTGCTCACTCACTCACTCTCTTTATCCTATTGGCCATATATGTCCAAAAAGCACTGGTTATTTACTTGAAGCGTGACGTCAGACTGCTGGTGCCAAGGTCCACGCCTCCACTGGTCAGAGTGTTGGATCCCCCCTCGATGGTCACGCCCTCTAGCGTGTCAACAACTGGTAGTACCTGTCGGACTACAAACAAAATAAGGGACACATAAGGGACCGATCATTTGATATTGAAGGGTGGGGGGTGTAAATTGTCACAGAAAATGCTGAAAAAATATAATTATGGTTCAGACTTTGTGAATAAAGAGAAATTGTCTGCCACAATAACATTGATGCTATGTGTCTTATATAAAGTTTTAATTAAAAAAAGATCTGGTTTTGTAGCTGAGACTGAAAATATATCTAATCTTCATACAAAATTCCAGTGTTTGGGGTGTTTTTTTTACAGCATTTTTAACAATTAATATTTTTCGATAAAATCCCATCTCTACCCCCACCCTGACCCCAATATCAAATGGTGGGTCGCTACGTGAATTACTCCTGTGGTCCACAAGCACGAGGGTTCTCTAAACAGAATGGAAATAAACAATTCAACTGAAGAATGGCGGGATAGCCTTGTGGTTAAAACGTTGACTCGGGACGCCCAAGTGAGTGAATATTGAGCAATATGACGTCGGGGAACACCAGAAATGGGCATCACACATTGTACCCAAGTAGAGAATCGAACCCGGGTCTTCGGTGTGACGAGCGAACGTTTCAACCACCAGGCTACCCCGAGCGCTCCCGGGACGCCCATGACCTAGATTCGATATCCCGTATGGGTGCAATGTTAGATTTCGGTTGTCTCCTCCTTGATATTACTGGGATATTGCTAAGACTCATTTAATATTAAAACTTCTCATGGAAGCTCGAAGTCGATTACCACTTTGGGGATTCGGTGTGAGAGTTGGTTCACAGTGTCTATGGCTTGTCGTAAAAGCCGACAAGCGGATGTCGTAATGCCCGAATAATGAATGAGTGAGTGAGTTGGGTTAACGCCGCTTTTAACAGTATTCCAGTAATATCACGGCGTGTCAGCTTAATGTGGGAGGAAAGCCCGAAGTGATGCAGATCTCAGACGTTTACCACTTCGGTGAAACCCACGAGCACGGGTATAGAATAGAATTATCGTGTGCCATTGCTTTTGGTAACCACCTATGGTTGACTGGACCAGATGCGATCATTCACATGTCGTCGAATTTTGTAGACTACATGCTTTGTTTGACTGGGCCAGACAATCCAGTGTGTGACATTATGAGCATCGATCTACGAAATTGGGATACGATGACATGCATTAACCAAGTCAGCGAGTCTGACCACCCGATCCCGTAAGTCGCCTCTAATGACAGGCATTGTCGCTTTTTACGGCAAGCATGGGTTGCTGAAGTCCTGTTCTAACCCGAATCTTCACGTTTAGTATTAGTGTTAGTGTTTGTGTAAGCGTGTTTAGTGTTAGTGTTAGCGTGTGTTAGTGTTTGTATTAGTGTTAGTGTTAGTGTGTGTTAGTGTTAGTGTTAGCGTGTGTTAGTGTTAGTGTTAGTGTTAGCGTGTGTTAGTGTTAGTGTTAGCGTGTGTTAGTGTTTGTATTAGTGTTAGTGTTAGTGTGTGTTAGTGTTAGTGTTAGCGTGTGTTAGTGTTAGTGTTAGTGTTAGCGTGTGTTAGTGTTTGTATTAGTGTTAGTGTTAGTGTAAGCGTGTGTTAGTGTTAGTGTTAGTGTTAATGTTAGTGGTTGTATTCTGCCTCGAAACCTTAAAGGGAATATATTCCTCTATGGCCATTAGCACACGTGTGGCCCAGTCGTCTTAGAGGCCGCAAGTGGCTTGTAGAGTTACCTTGCCAGGAAGCTATGGTCGTAGGTTCGAATCCTGTTCCCACTGATTGTGTTCCTGTGTTTGTTAGCACCATACCCGTGCTCGTGGGTCTCACCAATAAAGAAAACGTTAAGGACCCGGCCCCACTTACCAGCATGGGCTTCTGAAGACCTATTCTAACCGGATCTTCACGGGTCTAAACAAGATGCATTGACTTACAGTCAGTTGAGGTGCACTGGAAGCCAGTTTTATATTCTTCCTCTGTGGCCTGTTCGATGTGGACGCCCTGGAAAGGGGGGTCTATCCACTTCGGGTAGCTGTAGCCGGGTCGACACACGCAGACATAACCCCCGCGCTTGAACTTGAAACCCGGCTTATGCTTGCACTGTGGATAGTAAAATGATTGAAACAATAATTACATTTAAATACAAACAACAATGTTCAAAAAAGATAGAATACAAGTAGTGGCGTGTCAGCTTAATGTGGGAGGAAATCCCGAAGTGATGCATGTCTCAGACGTTTACCACTTCGGTGAAACCCACGAGCACGGGTATGGTGGTAACAAACAAGGAAACATAATCGGGGCGAACCGGGATTCGAACCCACAATCAAAGGTTTCTGGCGTGCACAAGGGACGCAACTCTGCACAGCGAATCGCGGCGCCTTAGACGACTGGGCCACCCGTGCCCCCCGTGCCCCCCAGAAAGGTTCAGATCATATATACATAGGAATCTAACTTGATGGCTCCGGGGCTAAGAAGATCCCCGTGATTGCCTCCTCGTTTGTTTGTTTGTTTGTTTGTTTTACGCAGTAGTCAGTATTTGTCCAGCTATCGCGCCAGTCTGTTGATAACTCATTCTGGGCCAGACAAACCAGTGGCTCATATCACGAGCAACACCCGGGTACGCAATCAACCAAGTTACCGAGACCGACTACCCGATCTCACTATAACAGTCCATTCGTCAACACTCGCCCCTTTCCGTAACCTGCAAGAAGACTCGTCCCCCTATCGATGAATGTTATGTGCGAAAACACGACAAACCAATCAGAATGCGCGTATGATTTCAAGTTCTTCGTCAAAGAATCCCTCAGAAATATTTTTTTTATTTTACATATGTCTTGCATCTAAAAATAAACCCAAGACACAGTTTAATGTATTCAATCAAACTGTATAATTCTGCACGTCCCGACGTGCTTTAAATTGCATCTGAGATATTAATAATAATATATGGGGAAAATGTGTGAACCATTACGCAACGAGTGGACAATTGTTTTAGGTATGCCCGTTTGCGCTAAGACGGAACCCGGTCGCAAAAATGGCCACGAGAGGGGCACGAGTCGCTATTCGGCTTGTCCCGGAATAACGCGAGTTGGTCACGAATGTATAACAGTCCAGTTTTCATCCTTGCCGAACTAGATAGGATTTTCTGGGCTCGATCGTAGCGCCACCAGTTGTTATTACGAGTTATGTCCCTTCTACGGCTATGCTTGTCGTAAAAGGCGACTAACGGGATCGGGTGGTCAGGCTCACTGACTTGGGTTGATGCATGTCATCGATTCGAATTGCGTGGATCGATGTTCATGATGTAAATCACTGTATTGTCTGGTCCAGACTCGATTATTTAATGACCGCCGTCATATAGCTGGAATATTGCTGAGTGCAAAACCCTTCTATGCCTCTCCTATTGACCAATCAGATTATATCTCCTGTATCACTTGCATTTGCTTTAAACAAAATGGCGGCGCCCAGTCAAGACGATCTGATCAATAATCAAGATCTATATTGTGATAAAACGGGTCTTACATCGCTTAGTGCATCAAATCACGTGAGCACCTTCATTAAAAACATGAAAAGATTTGGAAAATATCTGTTGACAACGAGTTGGCGGTGCAACTTCTTTGTAAATCCTGCAATCGACCAAAATCTGCACGACAGTTAACCATCCGAATTTTGATTTCGTGACTCGATTTTGATAGGACTATGCATAGACTCGTTAGTACAGCCAAAATAACTCAATAATACTAGACTAGCTCGGCAACTGGACTTTTAAAGTCAGTTAACTCCCTTGCCTCGGGAAGTTGATTCCCCGGGTCACAAAGATGCCTTACCTCAGAACTAATGATGGTATTGGGTTAGCCTGCCAGAATCTGTTTGTGGCCTCGTATGTTAGCTGAGAGTGAGTAAGTGAGTCTGCGAGTGGAGGATGTGACGTCGCAATGATGAAATAGCCTGCGAGCCAATCTGGTATACGACCCGCGACCAGCAAGTCCAAGCTCCTCACAGCGATAGCCCGTTCGCGGCGCTCTCCAAGCTCCCTACCGTGATAGGTGGCTACAATCATGCTTGGAGTTGAACTCGCAACCACACAAAACAGTCGTGACGCCGAATTACCCCAGCTAAATTATTTTCTTTGTGTGTCAATATAAATTTCTATTTCATTTCAACTGTATGTAATCAGTAAAGTAAGATTGTAAGCGGGAAGTTGGATGATTTTCCGTTTTACTACAATCTCGAACCAATCTGATCAAACAAACAAAAAGTTAAATTCATCTGGGAAATCTGGACAGACTGGTAAACCTTTATAAAAAAAATCACTATGATGGCATTCCCAAAGACGTAAACAAAGGTGTAAAAGTTACTACATTTGGGGGGCGGTCGGGTAGCCTTGTGGTTAAAGCGTTCGCTCGTCACGCCGAAGACCCGGGTTCGATTCCGGACATGGGTACAATGGGTGAAGCCCATTTCTGGTGTCCCCCGCCGTGATATTGCTGGAATATTGCTAAAAGCGGCGTAAAACCCCACTCACTCACTACTACATTTGGGGCTAGATGGCAAATTTCAAGATCCTTGCAATGGCCGCTCCCACACTGTCGATGTTAACGGGAGTTTTACGAAGGGAGGTAACTCTGCTCATTGACCTGCGGCGGATGTGACCTCTGGGCCGCCCTTGCCCCCTTAAATATGATGGATGGTCACTTACACCTGTAGTCTTGGTCTTGCAGCGCGACACTCCGGACAGGAAGCTTGGACCAGGATTGCCTATACTGACCGGACACGCGTTGAAATCTATCTGGTTGAAGTCGATGTCCATTGTTATCACGCCAACAAACCTGAAACGAAACCACACTGTTACGTGAAGCGGACTATACTTCATCTTCCCGAGGCAAGAGAGTTAACTGACTTTAAAAGTCCAGTTTCCACCCTTGTCGAACTAGGCTGGAATTACTGGGTTCGATCGTAGCGCCACCAGTGGCTATTACCAGTTATGTCCCCTCTAAGCCTCTCCTATGGACCAATCAGATTCCACCTCTCGTATCACTTGCGTTTGCTTCACACAAAATGGTGGCGCCGAGTCAAGACGATCTGATCGATATTCAAGATCTATATTGTGATAAAACGGGTCTTACATCGCGAAATGCATCAAATCACGTGAGTACCTTGATTAAAAACCTGAAAAGATTTGGAAAATATCTGCTGACAACGAGTTGGCGGTGCACATGCTTTGCAAATCCTGCAATCGACCGAAATCTGCACGACAGTTTACGAACCGAATTTCGATTTCGGTGCGCGATTTTGATTGGACTATGCATAGACTCGTTAGTCCAGCCAAAATGAAACTCCATTATACCAGCCAAGTTCGGCAAGGGTGGAAACTGGACTTTCATAGTCAGTTAACTCTCTTGCCTCGGGAAGATATACTTCCGTGACTATACTTCAGTGCAATGACTGCTGAACCTGGCCTGCTCTGGCACTGTCTGCCTTTAGGCTTGAGAAGATGATAAGATGATGTTTGATTGGTTGGTTGGTTGGTTGGTTGGTTGTTGTTTAACGCCGCACTCGGCAATATCCCAGCTATATGACGGCTGTCTGTAAATAATCGAGTCTGGACAGACAATCCAGTGATTGACATCATGAGCATCGATACACGCAATTTGGATACGATGACATGCATCAACCAAGTCAGCGAGCCTGACCACCCGATCCCCTTAGTCGCCTCTTATGACAAGCATAGTCGCCATTTACAGCAAGTATGGGTTGCTGAAGACCTATTCTACCCCGGATCTTCACGGGTCAGGTGATGAATGAATACGCAAGGTGGATGTTTCATATACCTCAAAATTAATCATTTTAGAATGTGAGGTGAGGTGAGGCGAAATTGGGTTTAACGTCTCGTCCAAGATTATTGCACTTATATAGCGACGTGCATGCACGTGTATGTGTGTGTGTGGCTGCTTGTACTAGTCCGGGCTGATGCCGATTTATAGTGCTTGCTCACGGAGATACCATGCCGCAGTTTAACATGAATACCCCACTCAGACACAGTATACTGACTCCGAGCCGACCAGTCCTTGTTTTAGCCCCTTAATGCCGAGCGCCAGACAGGGTAACAACAAGTACAATCTTTTAACGTCTTTTTGTATGACGCGGCCCGGGATCGAACCCTGGACCTTCCCCTCTCCGGGCGGACGCTCTACCACAGGACCACGGAGGCGGTATTTTAGAATGTGGTGATATTTAGCAGTAACAAACAGCTGGAATCTGTAACTCTACACTCCATACTAATTATTGTCAAATGAGCAATCGTGCATGAAAATCGGTTAATATTTGGCAAAGAGCATGTGAATTTGTTTTATATATTACGGTAGGGATTCTTTCATTGGCTACATATATAGGTAAATACAAGCAGCGTCAACTTATACAATCAAATAACAATCACAAAATAATTGTGAATTTGAGTTTTTCGTTATATTACTAGGACGTCTGTGAGATCTGTTCTGTGCCTTGACATTTCAAGCCTACTTGTCTGTGCGTAAATATGAGTGGACAATCGCACATATCGATTGTCCAATCAGTGAACGTTTCATAAAATCAACTTCCGTGTTCCGAAATTGCGGCCCTTGTTATGGACACATTGGCCACAGCCATCGCCTGTCGAATTTGAGTTGATATTCCAAAAACTAAGCTTAAACAAATATTTTCGAAGTGGTTCAAAGTGTTCAGTCAACTCGCCTAACTTTTATATATTTGAGTGCAAACTTCACTTCTTTTTTCAACTCAAACGACTTAACGCTTTATATTGCAGCGATTGAGATGCAGTGCCATTTTTAAACGATAATAAAACAAGAAAAATCACTGCTATATTCTCCATGTTCCGACCGTTAAGGGGCGGTCGGGTAGCCTAGTGGTTAAAGCGTTCGCTCGTCACGCCGAAGACCAGGGTTCGATTCCCGACATGGATACAATGTGTGAAGCCCATTTCTTGGGTCCCCCGCCGTGATATTGCTGGAATATTGCTAAAAGTGGCGTAAAACCATACTCACTCACTCCGACCGTTAATGGAAATAGGTCACATATGAACAGATTGACTTTGACTTTGACCAAAATGCATTTTATATGTTTCCAAATATTGACATTTTGAATCGAAAATCCATAAGTTATGACATGATTGATCCATCAGACCAGCTTACCTCTGCCGCCGGAGATGTGTCCAGTTGGAGTATCTAGGCATATAGTCCACCACAGGGGAGGTTGCACTCAGAACCCACTTGTTGGCTCGTCCGCAGTCATAGTAGGGCTTGGTCCACACGACGGGCAGCATCCGCTCATCCTTCTCGTTCTGGCTTGGGGATGAGGGGCCGAAGAAGTTGCTAGCCAGGAACTCCTTGTGAGTGAAACTGCCTGTCCCATTGGAGTACCTGATAACAGGAGTGGTTAAAGTAAGTGAAGCTGTCTGTCCTATTGGAGTACCTGATTAGGGGGAGTGGTTATAGTGAGTGAAGCTGTCTGTCCTATTGGAGTACCTGATTAGGGGGAGTGGTTATAGTCAGTGAAGCTGTCTGTCCTATTGGAGTACCTGATTAGGGGGAGTGGTTATAGTCAGTGAAGCTGTCTGTCCTATTGGAGTACCTGATTAGGGGGAGTGGTTATGGTGAGTGAAGCTTTCTGTCCTATTGGAGTACCTACATAATATGGAAGAGTGGTTATAGTGGGTGAAGCTGCCTGTGCCATTGGAGTACCTGATTAGGGGGAGTGGTTATAGTCAGTGAAGCTGTCTGTGACATTGGAGTACCTGATGTGGAAGAGTGGTTATAGTCAGTGAAGCTGTCTGTGCCATTGGAGTACCTGATTAGGAAGAGTGGTTATAGTGAGTGAAGCTGTCTGTGCCATTGGAGTATATGATTATGAGGAGTGGTTATAGTCAGTGAAGCTGTCTGTGCCATTGGAGTACCTGATTATGAGGAGGGGTTATAGTCAGTGAAGCTGTCTGTGCCATTGGAGTACCTGATTAGGAAGAGTGGTTATAGTGAGTGAAGCTGTCTGTGCCATTGGAGTATATGATTATGAGGAGTGGTTATAGTCAGTGAAGCTGTCTGTGCCATTGGAGTACCTGATTGGGAGGAGTGGTTATAGCCGATGAAGCTGCCTGTCCCATTGGAGTACATGTTTAGGAGGAGTGGTTATAGTTGTTATTTGTTTGTTTGTTGTTTAACGCCACACTCTGCAATATTCCAGCTTTATGACGGCGGTCTGTAAATAAGAGAGTCTTGACCAGACAATCCAGTGCTTGACATCATGAGCATCGATCCATGCAATTTGGATACGATGACATGCATCAACCAAGTCAGCGAGCCTGACCACCTGATCCGCTTACGACAAGCATAGTCGCCTTTTACGGCAAGCGTGGGTTCCTGAAGGCCTATTTTGCCCCGGATGTACATGGATCGAGTGAAACTGCCTGTCTTATTGGAGTACCTGATTAGAAGGAACGGTTATTTTGTTTGAGTTCGGTTAACACTGTTTTGTACTGTAACAGTATTCCAGTTATATCATGACGTGTCAGCTTCATGTGGGAGGAAAGTCCGAAGCGTTGTAGGTGTGCAGCAAATTATTTCGCCTTTGACGACTAAGCACCCCATGCCCCCAGCAGTGGTGTATTTATTGATATCTAAGTTTCAACCGGAATTTACAACATTAACAACAAATGAATTTCTGTCATCTGTTCAAAAATATATCAATAATTTGATTTATTATCAAAAATGCTATTTCAGGAATTTTAAGCCATCAGTCATCCATTACGCGAAAACAAAAACTGAACTATTGATATCACTATTATATCTATAACCGAATTTGTTAAATCAATAAAACAATATCACTTATTATTTACGATATCCCAAAAATTTATTTGGTGAAATCAATAATTCATCTTGCACATAAAATTAATTATTGATATCCTAAACTTGGGATTAGAAAGTAAAATGTCGCCTCATACCTGATCCCCACATTGTAGGTGAACTTTGTCAAGGAGTCCATATCTCCAGCAACGTCAGGCAGCCATTTCTGATACCAGGGATTCATCTTAAAACCAGAGTCGGTATAATCCGACCCTCGGCCAGCGCCGATGTCCGAAACCATGACAGTCCGTCGGGTCGCTTCCCGGAGATAATTATCCTGATCCCGATAGTCGTCCCATCTCCATGCTTTGGGCGCGAAACGTGGCAAGGTGTTGTTGAAATTGACGGTCGTGTACCAGTTCGGGTAGGAGCAGTTGGTGTCGAAGTAGATGGCGCTGCCGTTGAGACCATATGGGTTGGCGTTGACGTCCGCCGTCACCGACATGTACATATATAACCAGTTTGGCATGATATGGAAGTTGGTCGTGTCGTTCATTTTCTGTAGGATGTAGCTGAAGAAGAATGCTCTGTTGAGCGCCATGTTGTGGAGGTGGATGAGAGCGGTCCTGTTGACGTACCAAGCCTGGGTTAGAAGCTGGTTGTATTTCGGCAGCTGCGACACAGCATCGTCCCGGAAGTACAAGGCGTCTTTTGACTTGGACTTGCAGTTGTGGGCCTGCACTGAGATGAACTTGGCGACCAGTTCGTCGTAATGGTCATACGGCATCCATTTGTATTTCCCGCCGTGAACGCAGTCACGTGCTAGGTAAAGGGACATAACCAGTAGCAGCACACACGCGTGACGCATTGTGGTGTCGCAAATAATATCAATTTTTTACAGAAGTATATGTTACAGGAAGCCGGTTGTCATTTTTCTCTGTTGGAATAATGTTCAAGTTTTACTCACATCATGTTTAGGCGTCTGATCGGTACCTACAACAGAAAGTGAGTGAGTGAGTTGAGTTTAACGCCGCTTTTAACAGTATTACAGTTATATCGTGGCGTGTCAGCTTAATGTGGGAGGAAAGTCCGAAGTGATGCAGGTCTCAGACGTTTACCACTTCGGTGAAACCCACGAGCACGGGTATGGTGCTGACAAACCTAGAAACATAATCGGGGCGAAACGGGATTCGAACCAACAATCAAAGTTTCTGGCGTACCCAAGGGACGCAACTCGGCACAGCGAATCGCGGCGCCTCAGACGTCAGGGCCACCCGTGCCCCTACAACAGAAAGTAGGTTGGATACGTTGATAATGGAATTTTAAAATGCGTAAACAAATAACAAACACTATAACAATAACACCAAAAGCACAAACACAACCAAAAAAAACACAAACAGCTTTATCTCTAACTCCATTGTTTTGTTTGATCCAAGGCAAGTCCGTATCGGAACTACAGTCTCCGTCGACCTATGTTTGATTAGAAGAGGGGCTTTGAATTGAAAAGGTTTCACTGTATTTGCTGAAACATTATTGCCAACAGCGTGAATTATCAACTTCTTTAAAATTGTAGGTGAGGTGAGGTGAAATTGTGTTTCACGTCGCGTCCAAGACAATTGTGGTGGCACGTGGTCCTGTGGTGGCACGTGGTCCTGTGGTGACACGTGGTCCTGTGGTGGCACGTGGTCCTGTGCACAGCGCACAGGTAACAAATTAGGCCAAGTTAAGCAACATCGGTCTCTGAGAGTAGTTTGATGGGTGACCACAATAAGCAGCTTGACTCCTGAGAGTTTCTAAGGTTTCGGTCCTGCTCCACACTGAAGCACAAGTGGATTGGTTCGAAATTTGCCTCTGTTCACACAGCAGTGAGTGGGTACCCGGTAGTATGAGACGGGAATGTGGCTGTTAACCTTCGAGCGCCTTACAGGCAGCTTTGGGTTGTATACTCTCCAGGGAGCTGAGAATAAAAATCGAGTGCTCCCTGATCATCCATATGCCTTGAAACACGTAATTGCTGTTTTTTAATAAGATGCTGATCCAAATTGTTAATCCCCATTGAATTGTACATCGACTGTCTGCCATCCTGAACGAGATGTGCAAGTATGCCACTGATGAATTACTGTTATTTATATTTATGACTCACTAAATGTCAGGTGACCTTGGCTATATAAGCCTTCGTCCACAGAGAGAGAGAGAGAGAGGGGGGGGGGGGGGGGGGGGAGAAAGAGAGATAAGAGAGGTATTACCCTTAGCTTAGCTAGGGTTAGGCTGGGTGCTCCGGGGCACCTAGACAACAACCACTACCACTATGTGCTGACCTGGCACATAGTGTCTTTTGTATGTATATATCTACATGTATAAAGTAAAATTGTATATACTGCAAGCCATCATCCCCAAAGTTGTCAATTCCTACTGAGAACCATACGTCGGCCCCTTGCATATACGAGTATGCAAATTATTCATTAGCAACGTCACGTGTGTCTGCAACGCACGTGCACCAGCGCGTTGTCACCTACATTGTTTTCTGTGATGCACGATGTAGGTACACGTGATCTCGTATTTTGAATATTTTTTACGCATATGTCGGAAAGCTCGCGTTAGATTCCCATTTAAGTAAGTAATAGAGCTTAACGTCCCAAACCATGGAGGAGACACCCTCCTCCAATATACAAGCGTCTCTTTGATAGACATTATGAATACAACTTGGTGAAAGGGGGATTTCATCCTCCACGTTTCATCCTGTAGCTTCGTGTACCTGCTTTGCATTGAGAGTAGGCAATGTAATTAACTATCCGAGTTGTCTCGCTATAGGTTATCAATAAACTGTAGGTTACCTTTATAGGAGAAGATATTAGGAGTAACATGTTCATAATGAATAATGCTTCAGTCCGATTCGCTTTTGAATGTCTAGAGAATAAATAATTCATCCAACCACAACTACATCTAGCTCTTAAATCTGCAGACCCCGTGTAGCTGAGACATCCGACATGTGTATACGTGCATCAACTTTTGGACAAACCAAGTGTAGCAGGAGTTTGTCTGATTAAAGGGCAAGTTCACAAGGAAATGAACCCATTTTTCGTGTACTTTTTCCACATTAAAAGTGTTAACCTAGTAGTGTCATAGACAAAAATATAAAAATATCACAATTAATTAACATATTTTTTTCATTAAAACGATTTATATTTTTCACATTTACCAAGTGTTCTATTTCCAGAACAAAAACACCATGGCTTATGCCCCTTGCAATATGACGTCATTGGTGCCAATTGATAAACATTATGACGTCATCATGCTTTGTTAGAGCCGCTTCACGTGGTGTAGGTACAGGTGTGTGATTCTAGCGTCTCAGATGCCAGCCAGCATAGTGTTATGCTGAGTCACCACTGCGCCGGAGTGTGTCGTAGGCCATGTTGTTTTACCGCAAACTGGTACTTGATATCTTTTGCGTTGAGAATAGACAGGGACCCAGTTGAATTGGCACCAATTACGTCATAATCTAAGGGGGATAACTCTGGCCTGTTTAGCTCGAAAAATGAAGGCCTCATTACGGCATAGCATTTTCACACTATTGTGAGCTTCCTACTTTCACTGTGAAAAAAATGAGTTTATATTTTCAAACACAGATACTAACTAATTCTAAAATTGCGTTTTGTTTAGAAAAAGAAAGAAAGTGATTTTTGCGTGTACACTTCCCCTTTAACGAGCAGAAACTCATCTTACAACTTACCACCAGGTGGAACAGATAAACAACACAGTATTTGACCTATCATATTAAAACCGCGGATGTATAATGTCTTTGAAAAGCATTTAGAAGTGAAACACATAAGGAAGACATCTTTATTTTGGGGAACACAACGTTTCGGAGTGTATACTTACTCCTTCACCTGATAAAGGAGTAAATATTACTCCGGAGCATTGTGTTCCTCATAATAAAGAAGTTGACATCCATAAATGCTCTTCCTTAGATGATGGCACGGGTGGCCCAGTCGTCTAAGGCGCTGCGACCTATGATTGTGGGTTCGAATCCCGGTTCGCCCGGATTTGTTCTTGTTCTTGATCAGAGAGGTTCTTGTTCTTTCTTCAATCTTGTTACAGGCCGTTTCTTCGTTCTTGGTGATTGGCCTTCAGGAAGGTAGTATATCCTTATAATAAGAGACTGTCACTTCCTACAGTTTTGTGAACCATATGCCTAGCTGCAAAGAGGTAAGAAGTCTGTCATACCCGGATTTTCCACCAAATTAACAACGCGTGTCGGTCTGACGTTGATTAATGAACAATTTGCATACTCGTATATGCAAGGGACCGACGTATGGTTCTCAGTAGGAAGTGACAACTTGGAGACGATGGCTTGCGGTATATACAGTTTTACTTTATACATGTAGATATATACATACAAAAGACACTTTGTGCCAGGTCAGCACATAGTGGTTGTGGTTGTTGTCTTGGTGCCCCGGAGCACCCAGCCTAACCCTAGCTAGGCGAAGGGTAAGACCTTTCTTTTCTTTTTTTCTACTCTCCCTGGACCAAGGCTTATATAGCCAAGGTCACCTGACATTTAGTAAGTAATAAATATAAATGAAAACAGTAAATCATCAGTGACATGCTTGCACATCCTGTTCAGGATTGCAGACGGTCGATGTACACAAAAATGGGGATTAACAAATAGGATTAGCATCTTATAAATAACAGCAATTAAGTGTTTCAAGGCATATAGATGTCATGTCTCCAGGGTAATGAGCCTTTGCAATCAAATGTTCTTCAGACAATGGATGTCGTAAATCAGTCACTATGACACAGTGAACGTAACGCAGACCTGATGCTAGACTAACAGCTAATCTCTGAAATGAGCATATTTTACAGAAAAGAAGCAGTTGTTGAATAATAGTTATAAAATAATACACGTATCTTGTTAACCCAACAGTTCTTAAATAGAAGCAACGTGTACATAAAGAGTATTGGTTTGGTGCGTGTCTTAGCACACATTACTTTCAGAATGTGTGCATATTCTGGACTCCTGTAACTGGCAATAAATGTCATAAGACGATTCATACGGGTAAATACGATTTATCATCCAAAACTGGCTCTCACGGGAGATATCGCTTGGGTGAGATCAAACGATATCTACATTGTAGATATCGCTGCAATGAAATTGCATCACAATGCTTTGCAGATGATTGTGACGTCATTGTTACCATGATGTCACAATCAAATGACATCACCAATGGCCCTGCTACTGAAGCTGTAAGCAGTACTTTTTACACTTACGACACTGCTTATTACTGTCTACAAACTGAAAATTTGCAAGAATAATCGCACTAAAATCGCACCCTCTGCGTTTTTCCAATCTTATCAACGGCAACCGTCGTGCTCAAGGGGTCATTTGGTCGGATTTAAAGGATTCGGGGCCTGGGTGGGGCTTTGAGAATAGAATCCATTTTATGAACAGGGGTGTTGAATTTTGTCTTTCCCGCATATTCCCACAATTTTCACGTCGATTATCTGTACCTTTTCTCCCAATGCCGATTGTCATATCGCTCTCACTTTCGGATGTGATTGTTCGGGCATCGCGTTTATCTAGGTTGCCCAGCTTCATCCGTTGGGAACAACTCACTAGCCGCTTTCCTCTAACATATAACGTTGTCAAATTTACGACGTCATCAAGCTGCGAGTGCATGTTCGAATATCCAGAAATGACGTCACGATAGAACAATTCCGTGAAATAAATCTCGCTTCGTTCTTCTTTGTTCTTTGCGATTTATCGCGTAGCTATCTTATTTCATCAAATATATGTCAATTTCTCATTGCTTTATCAAAACGTATCCATGTCCAACCAACAGGATACACAAATATCGTTGTCGTCGACGTACAATAGTGTCATGATCCATTGACAGGGGTAATGATGTGCTACATGGAGGCTAGCGCATTATAAGTGCACATTATTATTATTATTATTATCATCATCACCATCATCATCATCATCATCATCATCA